TCATTAAAAAGGGTCTCCATTTCTCTGCTCTCACCAAATGAAACACAGCAGTATTAAGCTGCTGTTTTACGCCAAAAGTCCATCCCTGATCAAGCTGACCCATTCATGCTACAACCATAATATAACTGTGGTGTGGCACTACCACATCTAGAATATGGGTGCCACATTAATAAAAAGTTATATTTGTAAGAATGAAATAGTGAAATGAAAATGAAAACATTCTTAACCTTACTAACTTGTAACAGACCACTAATGAAGATAACTGTCTCAAGTCTGGAAAATACCTATAGAGAATCCAAAATTGTAGTAGATTAAATCGAAAATTTAACTTGCAGCAACAGTTGTCAAACGACAAAACTGGATGAAGGTCTTACACTGCTTGAAAGAGTCACCAGCCTGTATGCTTTAAGAGATTGTAAACCTAGAACCATGGCAATGCTGCACTCCACCTAGATTTTATTATATATGGCAGTTTTGATAAACTTTTTGTCGTCAGTATCTCAATAGAACTTAGTATAATGACCCTTACTAAACAATTTTTGCTTAATGAATATTGTAAACCTTTTGATAGATAAGGTCTGCATATATCACACTTATAGTTATATTAGACAAGAAAATATCTGATTGTATAAATATTTTAGATTATGTTTGTGCTTGAGTGATACCTATATATATTATCTAGGTTAATAGTTTAAGTTATCCTTTCATTCATTACAGCCTTTCGAAATCCATTGCTAAACCAGAGGGGCCTTTCTGCTCAAATTATAAGATAGATGTATTAGTTAGAAGTTGCCACACTTGGCAGGGTTTGTATCTGCAACTTTTTTATTATTTTGTATTTTGTCAGATAGATGCTGCTGCCCATCACCTGTTTTATTTTCCTCTGTCAGCTCTCACGACACTAACATACTATCGAGTAGTGTACATGGCTGGTATATTATTATTATCAATACTTTTAGAATAAGCAAGAGGTTTAAGAGTGATCAAGGAGACTACAGCAATATTAAAGAGTCCTATTAATCATGCTAAATTAATTAGTAGACTTTTTTTTTTCGTTCCAAGCAACTTTTCAACAAAGGTATTATTATAAAAAGGCATTTGAAGGCAATTGTGTGGAAAGTACACACTCAGGAGATAGTAAAGGACGTATATTGATCATTTATTCTAGATGGAACACATTTTGAGTCACTATTTAAATATTTAAATAATATGCGAATTCTCAATTGTTAAGGCTTCAATTAATTTTATACTTTAGAAAACTTTTATCGTTTAATATCTCATCACCATAGATAGTTATTTTATTGTAATATACATTACTTCTTATTTCCCATTTGTCTTACCTAAGTAGATACGTAATTAAAACAATATGTAGGTATATATCTAGTTTTTTTTATAAATGAAACATTGTAAACAGAATGTATCGAAATATCACTAATCCAAATTAAAATTTCGCAATTCTATGGTCTGAATCACGGCGACATTACTAAAATACTAGTTTTGTAACTCAGATCTCAGACGAGTAGCGTGATAAAACTATGATAAGGCACTCAGGTATGCACGTATCAAGTAAAAGTCAAATAGTAAAATCAAGGTACATTATAAACAAATACCAGTAAGAATACTTACCGCAACTTTTACACACTAAAAAGTTTTGTAACAATATCACTATTCACTATAAAGTTAAAGAATAAAATCCATTTTATTTCACAACACACCACACAATAATTTCGTTGTAACCAGCCGGCTGCGCGGCAATTTTTGTTGTTATACAGTGCGACGAAAAGTAAAAAGTAATCTTGATCGTGACGTTCATAGAATACGTTTGCGGTTTGCGCTTTGCGTTTGCGTTACGTTGCGCCAGATCCGTTGGCCGTTCAGAAATCATCAAGTTCATTCATTTGTTCATTTAGTGTTCCCTCTCCTTTTTTCAACACACCCCTCCATACACCATGTGACATTGTGAAATGCCATGTGATTGGTTGTTCAAATTCGTAGAGGTGATCAACTAGCAAAATATATCGAGGTAATTTTTAACTAATTAAAAAGAAATAGCAATAATATTTTATAATCCTTAATTTTACTTTATATTTTTAAACAGAAGTGATTATTTAATTATTACTAGTTTTACAAAGATGTATTTAATACAATCATCTTTAATTTACTTAGTGATTTTATGGGTGATTTTATATGATTTTTTAACATATTAATAATATAAAGAAATATGCTACTGTTAACCCTCAGTATCATAGTGAAAATCTGATTAATAGGTATAGGTTTATCCGATTTAATCAGCAAAAAAAAAAACTTTATGGTTTCGATTATTAAGAAAATACTATTATAATGAAATACATTATACTCACAGTCAACAATTGTTCATAATCCATGATTTTATTTGTGCATCGTTTACCAATTATAATGTTAAAGTAAAACTAAAGTAACAGCCCATTTGTGTGTCACAGCAAGACAAAGGAATTTTCTCTTTCCTGATACTGCTTAAATGCGGTTTTTGGAACCTATTACAAGCACTAAAGCAGCACATGAATAACCTGTCCTGGAGTTTTAGCTATAGTGGTAACTCTATTACACTACGAAAAAAATATTAAGATTAGGTGTAATCCAAGCAGTTTCTGTCGTCGATTTACATTAGTGGGAACACGAAAGCCTATCGCGTCGTTGTCGGTAAATTGAGACGGAACAACTTTAACTCACTTTAGTTTCTCTTTAGTCGCTCAAGTACGCTTACCTAACCTAACATACTACTACAACTACAATATCTAAGTAACGCTTAAGTACATCGGACGTATGTGCGAATTTTGACAGAAAACTTAGACATCGCAATATCACGGAATAGACAATTGAAATGGTATAGGAGTTTATCCAATATTACTAAGTTAATTCAATTTATGGAACCCTCGAGTCCTTACTATACTATAATACCGTGCAGCATTTGGCATATAAGGGGTATAAAGACGGACTAAAGTTATGACACTTTAAAGAAATCATTATAAAAAATAAAATTAATGATTATTTCTTTTCCTCTATTTTACTTCGCTCGTATTATTGATAAAACTGCAGATAAATATATCCACAAATTGATATGTAAAAATGTCGAATACGCACAACCTTATTCTCTGACGTTTCACTTTGCGTTTTAAAATTGAAGCCAATAAAAATAATTTTATCATTACATGATATACAAAGATTGAAAAATAAAAATATAAAAATAATTAAGGTTAAGGTTATCAAATGTCAAAACATTCTAATTTCAATGCTTCAAGTTAAATTTAAATTAAAATTGTACTGTATTCTAAGACAAATAATAAGTGCCTGAAGAAATACGTATAGCAATAAATGCTTCTAGACTATTTATTTCGCAAAACATTGATACTCTAATACCCTTAGGCGGCATTTATTTAGGCCGCTGATGTCAATGTGAAGTACAATAAAGTTAAAATGTTTATCTACAAAGTCTTTTTCTATTTTAATGAGAGCTAATAATTTTCTGCTCATCAGACGTCGCTAGTTGACACGAAGGTAAAGTTTTTTGTTACACCGTGTCATTTAATTGAGAAGTTAGTTTTAATAACAGTTTATCACTTTCTAGAGTATAATATTAATACACAAAACAACGCTTCAGTCAGTTTGTACATTTTTACATTTTTTTAACTTTTAGCTAGTCGCGCCAAAACACTTACACTATTAGACGCGTGGGGTCCATGCGAACCCCAATATTAATTGTGAAATATAAACAATTACAATAAATTCAAATATTTTATTTATATAGGAATTTGAAAAACAACATCTTATTTTACAAAAATAGTAAACTTCTAGAAAATAATAAAATATAAACTTCTAGAACATTCTTGAATGATAATTAAAATTACTTAGCACAGAATCACAAACTTTGGTTTGGTGTTCGTTACACATATATTTATTACAATTACCACACTGGGTTCTTGTTTTTCTATCTTTGGACCTTACATATAGATGACAACGGCCTTTGTAACCACTAGAATTGCTTGCAGAAGTTGAAAGTGCCGCGTCATTTAGCAGTCGTCTTTTCAAGGGCCGTGGTAGAGAGGGGATTTCAGCTCTCTTGATTTTAAAACTTTGTACTAGCTCTGCTGACGTTTTTTTTCAGAAATTCCCTTCTCGTAATTCTACTGGAATTATATTATAAATAATATAAGCGTTTATTGCTGCAACGTTGAAAAGATGGAAAAAGATAACCATGGGCCATCTTTTAGTACGCCGAGCAACGTTATAAGTTTCGCACAGTTTGTCGTTTGTGTCGACACCGCCCTTGGTTTTATTATAAAAATCGATTATTTCCGGCTTTTTGTTATCACCCTCATATATAGTTTTATAGCATAGTCGATAGTAAAATCACGGCCTTAAATTTTTTCGGCACATATGAAACAAGGGTTAGGTCCTTGCAAAAACCAAATTTTGATGAAAGCACTTCATCTGTTTTTTGAGGTAAAAACTGTGATGGAATTTCCTTTTTATTTTTTCGAAGGGTACCAAACAAAGTAAGCTTATGTTGTAACAACTCTTTTGCGAGAGGAATACTAGTATACCAGTTGTCAAGAGTGATATTACGACCTGTACCTTTGATTGGATCAGCAAGTCTATTGACGATACTAACTGTGTCATTTGGAAGCTTATACGGCTCGTCTGGTTGAGTTCCTACCTATATTTCAAACGATTGAAGATAAGCTGTTTGGGCGTCAACCATAGCATGGTGTTTGATTCCATATTTGTTTGGTTTGCTTGGCATGTAGACTAAACCAGAAAATCGGCCTCTAAATGCTGGTAGCTGTTCATCGATTGTCACATACTTGGAAACTGTGTGGTGGTTTTTGAAGTTATTACTCATTAGGTCACAAAATTCTCTTATCGGTGACAGTTTATCAAGCTGCAATCTGGAAACTCTAGATGATGCATCGTCAAACCGTAAACAGCGAAGAATGAACAAAAAACTTCGAGATGTCATCACATTAAAAAAAATCTATTCCAGTTCCGTAATTTGCCCAGAGATCAAGGAAATTCAAATGTGAAGATCTAAGCACACCAGACATCAACAGCAAACCAAAAAATGCTTGTAATTCTTCAATCGTCAAATTTTTCGCGTCACGTTCTCTTTGAAAACGTTCACGTATTTTCTGGATGTATTCATTTGTATGTCTTAGAATTAAATCTATTATATCTGAATCAAAAAATAACTTAAAACAATCAGTCTTACTCTTAGCATTTTTAGCGTTTCCTTTTGGTCCAGGTAATTGCAAAACGATGTTGTGAGCTCTTTGTCTTATTCTATGACTTGAAGAATTTTTTGACCATTTCGTAAACTTGTCCTTGCCTAAATAATACTCAGATGAAAACGAACTTGCCTCGTTTTCTGACTCGTATAAACTCTGTTCAGAGTCAGAACTGCTAGATCTATTATCGTATTGTTCAACAGAGTATTCAACTGTCCCCAACTCATCGTCACTTTCATCAAATGGCTCTAAATCATCTTTATTTAGCAGAGCTGAAATTTCGCCGATATTTAGTTGACGTCTTTCCATCGTGATGTTTTACCTATAAAGATGTAATAAATAATGAAAAAACGAAAATGTAATTAAAATTGTGTTAAAAAATAACAAGATTTAATCATTTACTTACCTAAAATTTTACTACGCTATAAGTCGCACGGGATCCGTTGGACTCCAGACACCTCCGTATGGCACGTGCGATTGTCGCCGTGGCTAGCGAAGCACTGAAGAGGGAGAGGCGCCTGAGCTAGTAAGCTACTAGGACTCACAATCAGGGACTTAAAACGTTACAAATAACAGAATGTATAACGTTATAATAACGTTATAATGGTATCGTTACCTCAGCAAGCATAGCGTTTTCAATATTTAGTATAACGTTTTAAGAGTAACAGAACAAAATTGTGACAGGCAATTTAACGTTATTATAACAATAAAGACGCGACGTTGCCAAACCTATTCATTTTCAAAAGCGCGCGAATCTGCGCGACTTACGAGATGGGTGGGGCCTGGGATCCAATTGGTCTACTAGATAGCTTGGACGGACGAGGAATTCCTCGCACCGCACGCACTCCAGAAGCGAACTGGCAACGTTGTAAAGTGAATGAACATTTGATGATATCAACCGCTTGCGAATTGAGATTTGCGACGTATTAATAATTATACCTAGATATCATATTACTTATATTTATTTATTTTTTAAAGTTGATTCGAACTACACTTGTTTACAAATATTGAAAATGAATCGTAAAAAATTTAATCTTGATGAAAATAGTAAGACTTCAAAATGTTTAGTTGCTGGATGCGAAAAAGTTTTGAAGTTAAGTTAAGCAAAAATCGAAGATAACGTGTAGAAGTATGCGCCTTTTCTGTCAGTTTTTATTAAGAAAAATATTGTATTTATATATGTACAGGGTCTCCTAGAAAACAGGACACCAACCTACTTTATCTTCTGTTAGAGCGTGGTCCTTCCCCGGTCGAGCCGACCCATTCGTACTACAACTATAGTACTAATATAGCTGCAGCCTGCAGCATAGCTTTACCACATCATACCTTGTCATATTTACCTGTTAGATAGGTACCTATTCATATCTTAATGCATTATACTTTTTTAGATTTACGCAAATATTTGACATTTTAAATAAAACTATCAATATTATTTTAGCCAATATCATAAACACTAGTGAACCGATTTTGATGAAATCGATATTATTCCCTAAGTTGAAACAATGTAAGCAAATAATCCCTAAGTTGAAATAAATAAAAAACGAATGATCACGATCCGACTAGTTTCGGAGAAATGAGAATTAATGAATGCACGAATAAAATTTTGTATATTTGCTTGGAAGCTATAATAGATAATATGTGAATATTTTGCAGTTCCAATAATATTACATACATACATGTCGAATTGATAACCTCCTTTTTTGAAGTCGGGTAAAAATTCAAACCGACTTTGCGCTTAACAGAACATATCTTGAAAACTACTGAAGCGATTTTTATGAAAATTCTACTGTTCTTTAAGTTGAAAGATGCTTAATGTAATAAAAAGTGTGTGTGTACTTCTATACGCACGTAGAAACCAAAAATAACTAAAAATTATGTAGGATCCTGGTGACGATTAATTGACGACTCCGTGGCGCAGTGGCTTAATAATGAGTTGCAGCGCTAAAGGCCGCGGGTTCAATTCCCGAACGGAATAAGTATTTGTATGGCCTACAAATAATTGTACATAGTTACGCAAAAAGGATCCAATGTAATTTGTGTCAAAAATGAAAAATAATGTTTGTGGTGTATACTATTACGTGATGCAACAATTTTAGCAAAAGTAATACAAATAAAAAAAATGTCCTACATCATATCCATACTTATTTAAGTATAACAGCTATGTGTATATGTAATATGTATAATAGTTATAGGTGTGGCGGCTGCGTCCGCCACGTTAGAAAAAGTCGCAAATATATCTCCGTTAATACGACACGTGTCTTCATTTATTGCAACCTTAATTGTACACCTTAGTGAATTTAGCAAGGAATAAATGTATTAATTAATTAAACCAATACAGTATTCATAAGACTGTACAAGAAGAAAAATTACAAACACACACACAAACCATACGGATCCATTCTTCAAATTTCATAACTTCAAATTAGCTTTCTTTAGGGATGGATACTTTTTGCATCACCACGTCCAATTGTTCTAGGTCTGTTTCTAGGTAATGTTTATCCTTGTGAAATCTATGTATGTAAACGTCCCCTGCGATACAGGAGAAAATCTAATTATAAAAGTAAATTTTGTGGAGATAACGTTTTTAAAAACACACACATATATATATAATTTTTTGTATTTATTAAGATTTTTAAACCTTATTATTCTTACTTTTTACTCTTAATATTGATTCACAAAATATCACGTATACATCAATCACGTCTTTTGATGGGTAAATTTAACCTCTTTTATCTTTATAAAAATATAAATAAATATATTAACGATTTTACATCATTATGTTGAGAAGTCATACTGCGATACAATCTCCACGCTTAAGTTTGTTTAGCAAAACTCTTCCTCTCTATCCACATACTATATTGCAAAACAATGTTCTTTTCTTATGTGCATGGAAAAAAAATCACATAATACTAATATACTTTGAAGTGGCAGAGATTATATAATATATATGTTGAATTCCTTTAGATCGAGAGCCGTGGTAGCTCAGATGGTTAGCGCTCGCTGTAAGCTTTACAGTACTAGAGCAACCCGGGTTCGATCCCCGCCGGCACCAATGAAATTGTTAATTGCAATTTTAAGTGCTGATTTACCATGTGCTCGGCGGTGAAGAAAAACATCGTGAGGAAACCTGCATGTCTGAGAAATAAGAAAAAAAATATTTCGAACACATGTAAAGTTCGCCAACACGCATTTGGGGCAGCGCGGCGGACATTTCCTTGCCCTAAGACCCTCTCCTGTCTGTCTCCTGAGGCCTGTGCCCAGCAGTGGGACGTAAATAGGCTGCACCTTTACTTTACTTGACTTTCCTTTAGATCTATCATATACTTTCTTTTGAGCATGTACATTTTCTAACTCTTTGTCTGTTACTCTTCTTTTTAATTTAGATATTTTTAACATTATCGTCTTTCTTGGTATCACTTCAATACTACTGATTGGTGTAGTATAAGCAGATAAGCTAAGTAGAGGTTCAACTTTGTATTGATATGTGGATGATCTATTTGGAAGATCAACCTGGAATTCAAACAAATTAAATGGACAAGACAGACTTATTGGAACGAAGTTCCTTATCGAACGGTACGAATTTGGCGGATGGGGGCTAGGCGAAAAAAAATGTAAGAATTTTCCATCACGACCCTTTCTGACGTATAAAAAAGCGAGATGGAATAATATCCATCTCCCTCGCACTTTTTCTAATCTTGCCATGAAAGAAATATTATTTTATTTTAAATGACGCTTAATTTTAATAGACGCTAGTAATTCATTGTATTTGTTAATCAATAATATAATACGTTTATCAATAATAATAATATAATATACTACGAAATGTACTTCGTTCCAACCGAGTGTTCCACGACACTGACGCATGTTTTCTTTACATTACTTATGAAATTCAAGGGCAATCTGACATATAATCTAGTTTAACAATAATATATAGAAGATAGAAGAATATTTCAACTTCTATACAATTATTTTATCTACACAATCCTTAACATATGTAGTAAGATATTAAGAACATCATATAATGTTATGAATGTAATACAAAGTTTATGAGCTATTTATTTTGAAACACCCATATTCCGAGTTGTATGTACTACTACAGTTGATAATTCAATTGCAGCGCTGACGACCATAAAACGTAATTTTTAGCCTATAACTTTAGAGCACTGCGTTCGATAGATCATACGAGTAAAAGAGATGGCATAGAACAATAAATAATAACATTATGATTTTGTGATAACAATATTTTAGAAACGTTTATTTGACAAATTTATTGTATCGTAATTATAACGTTATATACATGCAAAGATTTGCATAATATCGTTTTGACATATCGTTTCTCTTAAACATAACGTTATCTCGCACTTGCGCAGATAACGTTACTGTATTTTAACGGTATTTAAGTCCCTGCTCACAATCGCGTACATGCAATACTTGCCGAATTATGTCGAAATCTAAATTGCTTGGGGTCCAATGGACCCCACGCGACTAATTAAAGGTTAATTTTTCTACTTTTATGAATATCTATGGTTTGGTTTATTTATTTTTAATCTTATTTATATTAAATATACCAAAATAGTACAGAAAGAAACTGAAATCTGTCAGATATTATGCCTCACTTGCTAGTGGCGCCGCCGTGGTGGTAGAAAAAGTCGTGGATGCCCTCTTTAGTATACAGCCTGTTTAATATTACTACAAGTAAAGTATGACTAAATATTAGAATTTCGCGGCGAAATATGTACATCAATGAAACTTTGTATAAAACTTTATCTTGGCAATAGAAATGAGGATATTCCGAGTCCTAACAAAATTTAGGGAATAGGGAAGGGTAGGGAAGGGCAGGAGGGAAATTTAAAAAAATGCACATTTTATAAAGTGGCGGCGAGTGAGGTGTCATTTCCTATGTATTTTTTTGCGCTGAATCGAATGAGACCATACCCATACTTATAAGATCAATATTTTGTTAGATATGAAGGGGTTTTGTTGAAAAAAAAAATAATAAACACGTTTGCATTAGACGACTTTGTGTAATATTTTTTTTGTCCGTAGTAAAGCGAAAGCGGCGAGGTGAATGGGCTTGTGGCGGCGCTGTCGTCGCGCCACAAGCGAAACACATCGAAGCCTAAATCGCGCTATCAAAGTTCCGAAATTAAAGCAGCATATATAGAATAGCTCCGAACTACCAATCGGACCGTCGGCCGCTCCCCGGGCAGAACACCTTGCCCGGCGGGAGATCTCCCCTTTTCCTTCCACCGGCTACACTGGTGAACCCGACGTGATATGAACACGCAACCAACAATCTTCGGAAACTA